GGGTAAAGGCCGGCAGGACGCGGGGGATGCCTGGCAGCAGCGTGGGGCCAGCGGGCACCTATCCTGCTCCCCCTGCCCCTACCCAAGTGGGTGCCCCATCCCCCCCCTCCCCCTGCACAGTCCCATGGATACCCCAGGGGTGGGCTGGGGGTCTCACCTGGCATCACACCCTGAGGGCCAGGAGAGGCTGAAGGCGTCGGCAGGGCAGTGCATGGCGGGGGCGTCGGGGCGGCTTTCGGCGAGCTTGGCCACATGCCAGGAATGGGGCCGGAGGACGGGCACACTCCTCCTGCCAAGAGCAACAGCGGGAGAGGACAAGAATGGGGAGGAAGCCAGGCTGAGGAACCGGGGCTGAAGTCACTTCCTACGGGGCTTCCTGTCCCCCCCAGGCCAGCGCCTGCCTGAGGGGAATAGTGGCAAGGAGGGTCCAGCCCCGCCAGCACCCAGCGCCGGGCAGGGGATCCCATGGTTCCCCCCCACCGTGGGGTCTCCCCTGCCTGCAGCGTCCCTGCTGCCAGCATCAACATGGGACCAAGGACATGGCCACAGCACAGCCCACAGGCAATGCCTCAGCAGGGCAAGGGTCCCAGCTGGGACTGGACCAACTCCATAGGCATGCCAAGGAACCCTGAGGCCACATCTGTGTCCCCACTGCAAGCCTGACCTTCCCTCCTTGTTCCTTGGTCCCTCAGCAGCAGCAGCAAGCACCAGCCACATCGCATCCCCAGGGAGGGGCCCTGTGCCAGGCCTCGTCCCACCCTATCCCAGGCAGCTGTGGGAGTCTCCAGTCCCCCCAGCATACATAGGCAGCAATGCCCAGTGCCACCACACAGACACGAGGGCAGATGCCACCCCCTGTACCCTCCAAGTGCCCAGTGCTGTCCCAACATCCACCATGTGGGCAGGGCGGTGGAAGGGACTAAGCTGCAGGGTCAGCACAGAGGTCCCTCCCCCCCAGCGACCCCAGACTTACCATGGATGATGCTGAGCCCCAGCAGCCCTGCCCCATGGGCAGTGCCCTGTGCCACCCCAGCCCTGGGTGCTGCCGAAGCTGGAGCCCAGTCAGGATGCAGCCAGGGAGTGGATGTGAGTTGAGGGGACGGGAACTGCAGGGCCTGGCCCTGCCTCTCCTTCCTTTCCCAGGCAGGCAGCAGGCAGGCAGGAAGGGAGAGGAGCGGCCAGGCTCGAGGATACCGCCCAGCAAGGGGGTGGTTAGCCTGTTGCACTGCCCTGGCCCTGCAGGCGGCACACAGGACTGGGGGACCCCCCCCCACCATGGGCTGCTGGCAGCTGTGGTGGGACTGCCCCCACCCAGCACAGAGCATCGTCAGGCTCCCAGCAGTCACCTAGGCAGATGAAGCCCCCCAGCCTGGGCATCGTTACCCCCTGCCCCCCCACCCACAGCACTGCCAACCTGCGGACGATCATCTTCAGGGTGCGGTAGGAACCCTTGATGAGGATCAGGGCCTCCTGGCGGGACCCGTACAGCCGCCCCACTGAGGTTCCCCAGCTCATCGCCCGGCTGCAGCCGGCGGGACAGCGCGGCCTTGCCCCCATCCTCCACCTGGGTGACAGACAGGGGCGTCAGGGGGGACAGTCCCCCCTAGAACACCCTGAGAGGTGAGCCACTGCTGCCTGGCACCAGGGGAGAAAGAGGCTTTGGAAAAGGGGTGCCTTCACCCCAGGCACCACAGAGGGATCTGCAGCACAGGGCTCCCCCCCGTCCTGGTCACATGAATTTCTGAGCAAGGAAAGGGCATAGAGAAGGGGGGGAGAAGAAGAATGTCCCGTCCCAGCAGATTCCCCCGCAGGCGCAGGCAGCACAAGGGCTCTTTGTACGGTGTGCATGCCAGCCCCCTGCCACTGCTCCCAGCCCCGCATCAGCCCTGCCCAGGCACCCATGGTTATTTTGATGCCTGAAGGATCCTATCTCACCCTGGCACACACCTAACCCTGTCTCAGCACCCACAGCCACAATAATGCTGGCACCCTGTACTGCCGCAGCTTGGAGGACACAGGGCCACGGTGCTGCCAGCACGGAGGATGCCCATCCTGTCCCCTCTGGCCTAGCAGCACGGGCAGCCCTGCCCCAGCTGGGCACTGCCCATTGCAGGGCTGCCAGGGATTGCAGTGCCAAGACCCCTCACACCACAGGGCTGGCAAGTGAACCCAGCTGCTGGGCTGCATGGTGGCAGTGGTATGGGGCACGGAGGCACGTGCCCTCATGCTTGGCATGAATGTGAAGCCTGACCTGGCCAGACCCCACAGCCTCCCACCGGGTGACAGGTAGAGCTTCACCTTCACCCCTGTCCTCTTCCCACTCATATGCCCACCCCGTCCTGTCTGCCATGGCCATGGGGCTGAGTCAGTCAGTGGTGATGGGTGTTGTCCTTGTCCCCGCAGAACACTGCCTGGGCTGCACCCACATCTGGGCCACTATGTGTGCCAGGATGGAGGACATGGCTCAGCCCTGGCATTGCTCACCAGGAGCTAAATCTGGCACAAACAGTCGCTTGTCCTGCCTTCGCCACCAGTGAACTCAGCACTGGCAGCCAAACCCTGCTGCCTGCTGCCCTGCCAGGCCAGCCCTGGGCACTTCCCCAACACCATCTCTGGTGTTAATTCTGGGCCCTAATGGTGGGCACCAACTGGCTCACAGGACTATCTGCCTGCCCCAGGACAGACTTGTCTTAGAAGTCACAGTTATGCCCTAGCTGTGCCCACCCTGCCCCGAGCAGACCTCCCCCCTTGCCTCTAATATGCCATGGGGGGCCTGTGCATGGGGGGAACTCTGCAGCCCTATGGAGCCCATGCCAGCTCCACAATGGGACTCTGCCCCAGCAAGGGATCTCGCCTGCTGCAGGCTGGAGCCAAACTGTCTCACCGAGCGCCGGGACCCCCGGGGGCCACCCCCTCCCCGCACGGGCCAGCACGCACGCACCGCGGTCGGCCGCGGCGGAGCGGGCGCCCCGAGTGACCCTCCCCTGAATGAGCAGAGCGCTGGAACAAGCCCCCTTTGTCTGCAGAGCACACGCG